GGGCTGGCGTCCCCATTCTGGTCAGGGCTGGCTCTGGCCAGTGTCTCCGCCTCTGGGGCCCCTACATCTCTGTGGTCCCCCCGAGTCCTGATGTCTGCGGCTCCATGACTGACCTGCTCTTGGAGTGCAGGAGACCTGGATTTGGAACCCATCTTCTCCTCTTATGTCCAGAGGCAGCAGGCGGCCGGTGTGCTGGCCAGCTCTGACCATGGCCCCAAGCTTGGTGCAGCATTTCAGGATCCCCAAAGAGACTGAGATGGACTTGGCTGGGAAGGCCCTGGTCCCCTGAGTAGGCTGCGTCCCTATGTGCCGGTGCCACCTTCCTTCTGGGACCCATTCTGGGGTGTGTGGGTGGGGGGAGTGGACCCTAGGAAAGGCATCCCACACAGCGCACAGACGAGTGTGACCTCCTGCGTGCAGGGTCCGCAGGTCCCTCCTGTGCGCTCAGTGCCCCCCCCTCCCCCCGTTCTTGCCCTACTGTCTTTGTGGAGAGCTCCAGGTTCTGGGAAGCCTGACCTCTGGTCACAGCTTGGGGTGGGGCCTTGAGAGAGCTGAGCTGGTGACTAGGTCTTGGTGGGGTCCTCACAGGGCTCCAAGCCGACAGCCAGGACACCCTGGAACCTTCCAGAACAACTGGAGCCATTGGCTCAGCTCACCTGCATTTCCCACAGTGGACACATCTCCTCTTAAACGCTCCTTCTTGATCGGGGTGGATAAAGGCAGCATTGCGGGCTTCATCTCCAGGTGACGACTTCATGGAGCCTACATGGGGCAGGGGTGTGTGTCCACCATGCAGGGAGGACAATGTGGCCATCCTGGCCAGGGGCAGAGACACTGAGTCACGGTCCTCCCGGATCTAACCAGGTGACCTCATGGCTTACAGGTGTACAAAAGAACCAACCTACCACCCACGAGTAGTCCCCCAGGCAGGACTCCCTCCATGAACCTTCAGGCACCTGGGGGTGGGGACCTGGGTAACTGTCTCCTTTGTTTTGATGGAGATAAAAGTTGTGTGCTGTGAAATGCAGATGGGTGGGGGCCGACACCTCCAGGCACCCAGGTAACCCATGCCCCAGTCAAGATATGAAACATTTCCCTTCATTCTAGAAGGTTCTCCTGTGCAGTGGCCTGTCTTAAGCATCCTCAGGGCTCCACCAGCAACAGCGGGATGACACATGTCCCATCCAGTGGAATTTACACCAGGGTGAGGGAGTGGTTCAACCCTGGAAAATGTCCTGGTGCAATGCCTCACTTTAGCAGCTGAAGAAAGAAAACTGTATAATTACTTCCAAGACCCCAAAATCATTGTAATAAAATTCAGCCACCACGACAATTGAAGCATCCAGCAAGCCATGGTGCTATCTAAGGCCATGAAGGCACCAGGAAGCCTTCAGTGGACCCCACCAAGGGGATGTGCAGGAGGGTCCCCAGAGACAGACAGTGAACAGCTCACCTACCGCCCAGAGCCAGGTGAAGCAGGTTTCGTTTCCTGTCTCAAGTTATTTCTTTTATTTTTTTAAGTTTATTTGTTAATATTATTATTTTTTTACATTATAAGATGCTGTTATGGAGCAGTTGTGGGGAAGGGGGAGAGGCAAC